GCCTGTCATACTTTGGACATGTTGCCAGGAGGGAACAGTCATTGGAGAAGGATGTCATGCTGGGTAAGATGGAGGGTCAGAGAAGGAGAGTAAGACCCCCAAGGAGATGAATCAGCCAGGTGGCATCATTGATGGCGTCAAGTGTGTCAGCGGTAGTGATGTTGGCCCAGGATCGGACATTGTTTCGTTTTGCAGTGCATGGGGTCACTATGAGTCAGTTCCCACTCAATAGCATCTGACAACAACAACAACATGCAAGTGCTAGAGATGTTCATATTTAAATTTCCTTTCCAAGTAACAACTCACTTTTTAAATGTAAATTCAGTTTCTCAGTAGACCCTTTTGTACTATTTCTATTGTATGCTATCTCACTCTATTTCTATTGTATTCTGGCTTCTATTAACTTTTAACCTAGTCTTTCTTCTAACTGTTGCACACAAAACACTGATGGGCTGGGCATGACATCAGCTTTCTGGGCATGGAGAATTTTGCTAGGTAGGGCTGAATTTTCCAGTATTATTAATAGAATAAAAATTTTAATCTATTTGTAGTTGCTAGAGCCTCTAAAATATTTACATTTCCCCATACTTACAGATCCCCTGTACCTAATGAGGGAGAGGGAATGAATCCATTTAAAATAAATTCAGTGGTCATTTTCTAGTTGGATCCCATTCCAAAGAAATTCATCTTGCATGAAACACTTCCAATATCATAAGTCTCAATAATTAAATGTGCCTTTAAAATTGTTTTGTTCAACTAATCTGAGTAAGTGTTATGTTTTTCGGTCAGGTATATAGATCATTTATTTTCATGCAATTTAGAGGAGGAAAAAAGTTTGAAACGCACTTCTGTAACCGTGGCAAACAACTCAAGGAATAGTAGTTATTGCTACGATAACCACAGCTTTCCACAGAGCAGCAAATTTTACACCAATGGTTTAATTATACCTATCCTTACAGGCAACGAAAAGTTATGGAAAAAACAAAATTATGACCAAACTCCTGGACCGAATGAATTTTTATGTTCTTCCTGTTTTCAATGTTGATGGATATATTTGGTCATGGACAAAGGTACCATTCTGTCGTCTTGTTTTTATTTGGATGATCTATTATTTTCTTATTTTAATGTATTTGACTTTTGTACTCAGTTTAATATTCGTATAAGTAGAAAAGTATATATTTTTCATTTCAATTTCAGACTAAAGCAAGGATAATTTCCTGGTTACTTAGGTATCATTGAAATAATATTAAGTATCATGAAATTTTTACTGCTGAGGAGGCTATTAATGTTGGAGGGTAAAGTAATAATTAAGAGGGAAATATGTGAGTATAACACATTCTAACTAAGAATAAAAGTAGCTTAAAGACATTTTTAAGGAGCTCTGGTAGCATAGTGGTTACGAATTGGGCTGCAAACCTCATGGTCAGCAGTTCGAAACTACCAGCCGTTCCGCGGGAGAAAGATGAGGCTTTCTGCTCCCGTAAAGATTTACAGTTTCGAAAACCCTGTACAGGGTCGCTATGGGTTGGAACTGACTCTAAGGCACTTAACAACAACAACAAAGGCATTTTTGACACATTGCATTCAAAGAGAAAATCATTGGAAAAGGATTTGAGGTAAAAATCCTTATACCTTCCCTTACCCCCCACCACCACCATCCCCTAAAATAATAAATACAAGAGAGATCTAGATATCTGGCTATCTGTGTGTCTTTGTAACAGGAACCTTTATCCCCAGTGTTATTAATAAAATGAATACCAAACTTTCAAGAAAATACTATCACATCAATTTCTTCTCCAAAAATTATGCTCCAACTGTGACAATTTAACCTGTGCCACACTTAAATCTACAAATGGTGAAAGATGTTATGAAGTCATCATTTCAATTATGGTTCATTTCAGAACACCATTGATCATTTTCTAATACTCCTTCTGAGAAAAGAATTAGTACTTTCCAAACAAACTGACTTATACTATGAAGGCTTAAGAATATAAATATAAGAAACAATGTTTCAGGAGATTATAAATTAAGAGCAAGCAATATTTTTTCTTTTTTATAAAGGGCCTCAAGTTAACTAAATTTCAAATAAAGTTATAGACTTTATTTAAAAAGATCATCTGAAATGATCAAATTGAAAAATGCAAACTGGCTTTATATAAACACTTTCATCATTCATTCCTGCAGAACCGAATGTGGAGAAAAAATCGTTCCATGAACCAAAACTCTAGATGCATCGGCACTGACCTCAACAGGAATTTTAATGTCTCATGGAACTGTGAGTAGCAGACTTGGTTTCCAAGAAAATGAGTTTAAAGAGTGTTCAAACACCTCATTTAGCTGAACCATTTACTTATTTCAATAGAGACAGGTATTTCTTGGAGGTCCTGGTTGGTGTAAACTGTTCATGTACTCAGTTGCCATTGGTAGTTAACTGAAAGCTTAAGTCCAAAAACAACTCATAAGAAAGACCTGGTAGACTTCCAAAAGATCAGGCATTGAAACCTCATGGTGCACAGTTCTACTGTAACAAGCATGCCGTCAACAGGAGTCAGAATGAATGCTATGACAACTGACTTTAAAGAGTGTTCATTTTCTTACCAACAAAAAGGGAGGTATTCATCATTACCATAAAGAAGTTACAACTGTTTTGCTGTGGGGCAGAGGGAAATGGGAAGGGTGAGGAAGTAGCGCATGTCAGGGTTGCTTTAGAAGCCACTTGTTCCTAGATACATACATTTAACTTGCTAAAAAATCAGGTACAATCCAGAGGTCCCATTCTCCTCCTTGTGATAAAATTGATAAATACCCAATGGCTAAAACTAACATCTAGGTAGTTTTTTCAGATGTTTATCACCCTGCTGGGGAAAATAAAATAAAAAGGACTAAAGGAATGCACCTCACAGGAGATCTTGATAAGCAGAAGCCTGCTACTTCAAAAGGCAATGTGCTTGCTATACAAACAGGGCTTTATGTTTACAGACTTTCAAGGCTAAGATACCACTGCCCCGCTTTGTGTATTTTTTTCTCAATTTTGTTGAAAACATCCACTTGGTTTTTTAATTCTACTCTCCCATAATGAATATTATAAAAGCAGCTGTCCCAATTGAAAGTTGCCTGCTGAAACAAATGGAAGAAACTCAGATTCAGAAAACATCATTTACATTAGTACCCAGCTAGTAAAGGCTGAAGTTGAATTGAGACTCAGGGTTATCTAATTCCAATTCCTGGACTGCTTCAAATATGTTATTTCTGTGATCCTGATGAAGGGAGAGGACATAATAAACAATGCTGAGCATAGTCCAATGAGGAATTCTGTTACAAGGAGCTGTGGTGCACAACAGTTAAGTGCTCAGCTGTTAAGGGAAAAGTTAGTGGTTTGAACACACTCAGCAGCCTTGTGGGAGAAGGATCTAGTGAGGAATGTGTCTGTTCCAGTAAAGAGTACAGCCAAGAAAGCCTTATGGGGAAATTCTCTTTTGTCACATGGGATCGCTGAGTCAAAAATAAGAAAAGGTCTGGCACAACCTGACATGTGAGCTGCCCTATGAACCTAGGAGACTCAACTGGTTAAAGAATTTTGTGACTCCACATTGGGTTGAAAGGGGACTGCACTGATGGTCAGATTGTGATCTCACCCACCCATGTCCTCCTACAGTGTTTCCTGACACTAATGACCCCTGTAGCGCAATCTACCGAGGCCCTGCAGCAGAATCTGAGAAAGAGACAAAAGCTGTAGCTGACTTCATTCGGAGCCACCTGAATTCAATCAAGGCCTATATCACCTTCCATTCCTACTCCCAGATGTTACTGTTTCCACATGGATATACTACAAAACTGGCACCTAACCATAATATCCTGGTAGGTAGAAAAAAGTCTGTGGTTTAGACATTGACACTAACATTGAGTTTCCATTTTAGTCTTCATTAAAAATATGGGTTGTGTTGAAATAATTTCAAAGTTTAATGACAAAGTACTAATGGAGTTTAACATGGGGTTCAAATTATAATCCTCAGATTAACTTTCAATTGGTTAAAGTATATAGAAAATAAAATCATGAAATGTTATTTTAAGAAAACAGGAAGCAACATTTTCGGAAACCCTGTACAGGGTCGCTATGGGCCGGACCCGACTCAACGGCACTTAACAACAACAACAACAAATCACTACGCAGATCTTTTGGGGAGATATTTTCCATGGGCGGTACTGTAAAACCACCCACAGCAAAAGACATCTGCTAGTCCTATCCCTCTCACAAAAGATTTCAGAAAATCAATTGTGTATTTAAATCAACATAGTCCACCATTTGTCTGTTTATTTGTCATAGTGCAGTGTTGTTGTTATACTAGAAGCTATCCTACAGGTATTTTAAATACCAGGATGGTAGACAAGTTTCTGCAGAGCTTCCAGAGTAAGTCAGACTCAGAAGGAGAAGAAGACTCCTGAATGTTTAGCAACTGAAAACCTTATGAACAGCAGGAGGACACAGTCAGATAGCACCAGAATACTGAATATTGCAACATTGTGAATAGCACTAGAATATTGTCAGATATCGTACTGGAAGATGAGCCCCTCAGGGTGGAAGGCACTCAAAATGTGACTGAGGAAGCTTTACTCCATTCTTGTTATCATGGTCAACTCTACTTTGACGAGGCAACTCTTCCTCAGTCTCATTTTGAGTGCCTTCCACCCATCTGTGGAAAGACACAGTGAAAAATCTCCCTATCATCAGCTAAAACAAAGTCAGGGGCAGTCTGTGGAACAGATCACCAATTGCTCATAAGGAAGTTCAGACTGAAGCTGAAAAAAAATTTAAGTCCATGAGAGCCAACATATGACCTTGAACATATCCCACCTGGATTCAGAGATCATCTCAAGAACAGATTGTATGCATTAGACACTAATGACCAAAGACCAGAGAGTTGTGGAATAACATCAAGAACATCATGCAGGAAGAAAGCAAGGTAGACAGTTCACTACTATACAAGGTCATTATGAGTCAGAACTGACTCAATGGCACTTAACAACAACAACAACAACATTCAATCTATATGCTGAGCAAATAATCCAAGAAGCTGGGTTACATGAAGAAGAACGTGGCATCAGGATGGGAGGAAGACTCATTAACAACCTGCTATATGCAGATGATAAAACCTTGCTTGCTGAAGGCAAAGAGAACTTGAAAAATTTACCAATGAAGATCAAAACCACAGCCTTCAGTATTGGTTTCATCTCAATTTAAAGAAAACAAAGGGTACCTGACCCAAACCATGGTATTCTCAATAGGTTTGCATGCATGCAAATGTTGGACAATGAATAAGGAAGACCATAGAAGAATTGATGCATTTGGGTTATGGTGTTGGAAAAGAATATTAAAAATATTTAAAATACCATGGGTTGCCAGAAGAACAAACAAATCTGTGTTGGAAGAAGAACAGCCAAAATGCTCTGAAGAAGCCAGGATGGCAAAATTTCATCTCTCATACTTCAAACATATTATCAGGGGGGGCCAGTCCCTAGAGAAGGACATCATGCTTGGAGAGTCAATGAAAAAGAGGAAGACCCCAGTGAAATGGACTGGCACAATGATGGCAGCAATGAATGGGCTTAAGCGTAACAACAATTGTGAGATTGGTACAGGACATTCTGTTGTTTCATTCTGTTGTACATAACGTTGCTATGAGTTGGAACCACTAAATGGTAGCAAAGAACAATCAACATAGTAATGATATCATTCCATTTACTCCCTAAAGATGAGGCTTTCTGCTCCCGTAAAGATTTACAGCCTCAGAAACACTGTACAGGGTTATTACGAGTTGGTACTGACTCCACAGCACGTAATCACCACCATCACTCCCTAAAGATAGACCATTATAAGTGTTTGTGAAGCTTCTTTACAGAACAATTATAATGTACTTAGAATCACTTCCTCTCTATGAATATCACTGTATTACTGTTGTTGTTGTTGTTAAGTGCCATCGAGCCAATTCTGACCCATAGAGACCCTGTATAGGGTTTCTGAGGAGCAGCTGGTGAACTTGAACCGCCAACCTTGCAGTTCAAATGGCTTTGCAGTCTGTCACATTAACCCACAGTGCCACACCAGGACTCCAATGACAGCATGTTGTTGTTAAGTGCCGTCGAGTCGGTTCCGACCCATAGCGACCCTGAACAGGGTTTCTGAGGCTGTGAATCTTTACGGGAGCATAAAGCCTCATCTTTCTCCCGTGGAGCAGTTGGTAGATTCGAACTGCTTAGCTTGCGGTTCGCAGCTCGATTCACAACCACTACCAGAGCTCCTTCCAATGACAGCATTAGCTCACTGAAAATAAATTTCTCATTGAACTACTTTATTTAGATCCTCAAATGCCAAATAACCAGTATAATGCACTCTTTTAACTCCCAGTAAATTAATGCCACTTGTATTATAATTGTTGTTAAGTGCCATCGAGTCAGTTCTAACTTGTAGTGTAACCTTATATAGGTTTCCAAGGAGCCGCTGGTGGCTATGAACCTCTGACCTTGCAGTTAGAAACCCAGTGCTTATCCTACAGTGCCACACCAGAACTCATTTGTATAGAATTCTATTATTCCACTCCAACTATTCTTTCTTTCCAGGACAAAGTTGCAAAGATTGCCACTGAAGCCCTAGCAACCCTTTATGAAACCCAGTACATCTATGGCCCAATAGCATCAACAATTTGTAAGTTCTGCTCTATTATTTGCTAAGTCTTTTCCTAAACTTTTTAAAATAAATATTAAAGTAAATTATATAATTAGTAAATTAAGGTCAAAATGTCTGAAATTTATTTTTTTTAATCCAGTTTTCACAAGAGATTCTAAAGTATATGTGAGTAAATGTGGTGCTGTGGAACCATAAGATTGTTTTGAACTACAAGGTCGGTGGTTCAAACTCACCAGACGCTCATTGGAAACCCTATACAGGGTCACTATGAGTGGGAACCAACTACACAGCACTTAACCACAACACCAATTACATGTAGGAGTCCTGGTGTGGCACTGTGGGATAAAGCACTGGACCTCAAGGTCAGTTTGAATCACAAGGTCAGTGGTTCAAACTCACCAGCCACTCCTTGGAAAGGGTACCCTACACAGGGTCTCTATGAGTCAGAACTGACTCGACAGCACTTAATAACAACAAATTACACGTAGGAATCCTGGTGGGTCTGTGGACTAGGTATTGGGTTGCTAACTATAAGGTCGGTGGTTCAAATCCACCAGCCACTCCTTGGGAGAAAGATGAGGCTACGAGTACCTGCAAAGATATACAGCCTCAGAAACCCTATATGAGTCAAAACTCACTCTATGACTCTGCGCTTGGGTAATTATATGAAGGGGATAGATTCTGCCTTTTTTGTGGGAGAGATTTTCTTGTAACAAATTATACTGAATTCTTACAGTAAGATTACAAAATCAACAAAGGTTAGTAAATCAAGATACAATAACAGTTTGATTCACCAGCCTTCCTGTACCCTGCCACCTATAACTTGTTATCATCACAAGAACGAAAATTAACAAGTATCCTTTGAAGAGAGGACTACACCCCTTAATTCGTTTAAAAAGAATAAAAGCATTTAACTTTAATTCTTTCTTCCTTGGCTTTGTCTATGAGCAATTAAAGTCTTCTCTGGTGTGGCACTGTGGGTAACTGCACCACACAGTAAAGCCATTTGAACTGCAAAGTCAGTGGTTTAAGCTCACCAGCTGCTCCTCAGAAACCCTATACAGGGTCGCTATGGGTTGAAATCAACTCAATGGCACTTCACAACAACAACTACATCTAAAAATCAGGTCGACAACCAGTTTCAGCCACTTTGGCCATACAAAATTCCTGTCCTTTTCACATTCCTCTTCCCTTTATTTTCGACTGAAATCTGTATGTGTAAACCCATGGTGGACTAAGAAAGGAAGTTACAAGGTTTTAGTTCAGTTGCTTTTGTTTTTACATCTCAGCACCGGCTTCTTACACTTTACTACTTTTAGACAGTCTTTGTCTTTGTGCACTTTTGAATTAATAGATTTAGATTTCTTGGCCTTGGTTTTCTTCTTGTGTATACCAGGGGTCAGCAAACTTTTTTCTATAAAGAGCCAGATGGTAGATAAATTTGGCTTCATTGGCCATATGGCTTCTGTTGGACTACTCAACTAGAGTGCACTGAAGCTCAAAAGTAGCCATAGACAATATGGCTACTAGCAAGCGAACATGACTATGTTCCAAAAAATTTCATTCACAAAACAGGCGGCCAGCCATAATGTGCCAATTTCCACTATTTTCTAAATTATGTCTGTGATTGTTTACTAAGTCTTTCTTAAAATTCAGGGATCATGCTTAGCCTTTGATTTCCACATTCTCAGCTAATCCTAACGACACTAGCTGGGCCAGGACTAATCCCAGGTTTTACTAAGAACAAAGTTCATGATCTTGACCACTGTGCATAATGCCTAACCATTTAGTTTTTGGTGCTAAAATAAGCACATTTTTCTGTTTTCGGTCAACAGAAATAAATTCATTTGGTTATTTCACAATGAAAGACTTTTATTTTCAAGTTTCAATAAGTTCAGACCATAGAAGATGAGACCATCTCTATTCTTGTAGTTAAACTCCCACTAAGCATAATTTGGGAATGTTAGCATGTTTGCTGCCATTGAGTTGGCCCCCAATCATGGTTACCACATACACAGCAGAATGAAATGCTGACACTGACCCTGTGCTATCACATGATCCATTGCAGATGGCACCATTGTGATCAATACAGTTTTGACCGATTGAGTTTTGGAAACAGATAGTCAGGCTTTTCTTTCTAGCCATCTTAGTCTGGAAACGCCACTGAAAGCTCCTCAGCAACATAGCAGTATGCACATCACTACTAACAGATTAAGGAGTGGTGACAAGTTGGGCTGCTAACCTCAAGGTCAGCAACTGTTCTGCAGGAAAAAGATGAGGCTTTCTACTCCTGCAAAGATTTACAGTCTTGGAAACCCTATACAGGGTCGCTATGAGTCAGAACTGACTCCACGGCATATAACCACCACCACCATGACTAACAGATTGGTAGTAGTGAGAGTACATTATATGCATTGGCTGTGAATGGAACCCAGGTCTCTGGCACAGAAGGTCAGAATTCTAACATTGAACCATTAAATCAGAACTTCAGTTCTTAGTCACTAACTTTACACAAAATTTCCAGTGAAACTACTCATAAGACCTTAATTACTAGAAAAAGTGTTAATTCAAAAGTACAAAGATTGTGCTTTTGATTTTTCTATATTAAATGGAGCCCCTAATGTCTAGCAGAGTGCAGGGCATGAAACAATAGCAGAATTAATTCCTGAGAATTTGCCCAGTGAAAGGACAGGACTTACGTTAGCCTATGCCACTCTCTACACAATTGGTATACAACATTTTTGAACCTAAAGAGTACTTTTTAACTTTTTAACATTTCATGGACCACCACACCACACCAAATACATACTTATATTTCCATCATACTTTTATAATCTGTGTATGTGCATGCAGAAGCCTAGATTTCTTACAATAGCTCTCCTCATCCAAGGTATAACATTATACTTGGGACCAAAAGTCCACATCTTCAACAATTGCTATGGTATTGGAAAATATCAGCATCTTCATTTCCTAGGGAGTGTCATAATAAAATACTACAGAGGCAGAATAGAAATTTATTTTCTCCAAGTTCTGGAGATTGGAAATCCACATTTAGGTGTCAGAAAAACCATGTTCTCTCTCCAGGCACTCTAGGGAATGATCATTCCTTGTGTTCTCCAACTTCTGGTAGCCTCAGCCATGTCTTGGTATTCCTTGACTTTTAGATGTATCTCCACATGGTGTGTATCTTTCTCTTGTCTCTGTTTCCATGTGAGTTCTCCCCTTTTATAAGACATCACTCAGAAGGGGTTAGGGCTAGGACCCACCCTATTCCAGTACAAACTCTTTAACTTATCTGCTAACAAAAGAAAAATCTTTCCACCAAACAAATTTACAGGTACAGGGGTTAGGACCAGAGTATCTTCACAATCCATCCCTTTATAGCCAAGTCATCACATAAATTCCTACAGCCTATATTTTGGAGGCTTCTTTGATAGAAGAGGAAAAACAGTTACAATAGATAAGTCCCATTCCTAGAGAAAATTCATCAGTAATTACCTATCAACCACTGTTGATTGTTAAAAGTCCAAAGAGAAAGTGCAGTGATACAACCAATCACCAGCTTCCAAATAGATCTGACTACAACATACCTGTACTGGGGACTCATTAAACATATGGTTGTTGTTAAGTACCATGAAGTTGGTTCCGACTCATAGTGACCCTGCACCAGGTTTCTGAGGCTGTAAATCTTTATGGGAGCAGAATGCCTCATCTTACTCCCACGGAACTGCTGGTAGTTTCAAACTGCTGGCCTTCACGTTGGCAGCCCGACTTATAACCACTACACTACCAGAGCTCCTTAAACATGTAGTGGATGACAGCAAATTTTGAAAACAGATTACACACACCTAGAATGTAATACTATTTTTAAATGGAAGCTTGTTTATATATGGAGAGTCCTGGTGTGGCGCTGTGTGTTAATGGGTCAGAATTGAACCCCATATAGAGAGTCAGAATCGACTCAACAGCACTTAACAACAATAGGGTTGCCGGATTCCTGGTGTGGCGCTATACAGGGTCGCTATGGGTAGGAACCAACTCAATGACGGCTAACAACAACAACATAGGGTTGCAAGTCCTGGTGTGGCTCCTTGGAAACCCTATACAGGGTCGCTATGTTGTCAAGAGCCATCGAGTTGGTTCAGACCCATAGCGACCCTGTATAGGGTTTCCAAGGAGCACCTGGTGAGCTTGAACCACCGACCTTGCAGTTCAAGCGACTTTGCAGTCTGACGCATTAGCCCACAGCACCACACCAGGGTTCTATAGGATGGTGTAAAACTGCTCCCTAGGTTTCTGAGGAAGTAAATCTTTATAGGAGTAGGCAGCCTCACCTTTCTCCTGCTGCATCACACTTAGTGACCAAAAATTTAAGGACTGCCTACTTAATAGCCCAGCACTTAAGTGCCTTGAGAGACAGGTTAAGGCACAATAACTTCTCTCTAAGAAATTTCATTCTAACTGGGAGAAGCAAGTGGCAAATACGCAGTGGTAGCTCCATGGGTCACATTCAAAATGCAAAGGCAAATGGAAGGACAGGGTCAAGAGTAATTACTAATTCTACACAACTGTGTATTCATATTGTTTATTGTACTGCATTAAAACATTCTTGAATGCAGATTTGGAAAGAACTGCCTCTTCTACACAGAACTGTATTGGTTAAATAAATGTTCAAATTTTCTAGGCGTGATTCCTTTAATAAAGTATCTGATTGAATGTTAATCAAACATTCATGAAAAATAGGTGGTAGCAGAGTGGTTGACTTAGCAAGAACAGAAAATAAGGGCAGCTCACAATTAAAGTTTCGTCATTCCAATATCCTAATTGTCACTTAAAAAGGTCCCAAGATTTGAGAAAATGTCTACTTTTTTCTCTCTGGGTATTTTCACTGATAGAGACAGGAAAAGGCTGAGGCAGCAATTTTAAAATCCAAATTGAAGAGCGATCTCTGACCTTCAGAAAAAAAAATAATATGTTTGCAATTTGACCCTAAAATGCAAATGAAACATAAAATTAGA